TCAGATACTATGGGGGTGGGCCTGGGGTAAGATCATAGACAGCTCGAACCACACTGGGTGCAGAGGGAAGCCGCGCTTTGGGCCAGCCGTGTTATCAGCTGATCGCAAACTCAGTTAAAAGCCATAGCACGGGCAGGGCCATATACAGCACAGGATAGCATCACTGTAACGCCGTGAGTCTTGCTCGCAAGCACGGGGGAGATCTGAGCAGGACTGGAGTGTCAGGTCATATTTTATGCTCTATGAACATCCCCCGCAAACCCATCCTGATGGAGCCCAAAGTACCGCATGAGCTTTATGTGTACGGCAACGCTGAAATGCAGCCGCTTCTGGGGTGGAGCGTGGTAGCCAGCATGCTGGACAGCAGTGACGGGAGGGGGAAACTTGCTTAAGAAGTCCAGAGTAAACCTTCTGTGAACCGTGCCCTGGGGTCTGTGGCATCCACAGCAGGCGGACCGGATGTGGGCTTTTAAGATCTCTGCAATATCCCGCCCTGGGAAGCGGCAGGGGACTCGGATTAGAACTTGCCTCAGCAGGAAGAAGCGTTGGCTGGATTGGAGGTTATGGTTGAAACCCGAGGGTCAGAGCTATAAACCGTCGCTGTGTCCGGGCATGTGTGGCAGCCACGGAGGGTGAGTGAGTGCATTTGCACCAGTGACCTGCTTGGAGCGGGTCTGGATGAAACACCTGTGCGCTTTGCACGGCTGATGGAGCTGCACCATCAGCAGAGTGAGGAGGGACGCTCACCCCCAGCATGCTGGGGCGGGCAGGGCCATCGGCGAGAGGACACAGAGTGGCACTGCCATGAGACCCAGAGGGCAGGGGAGCATGAGAGCCAGGGGCCAGCGGTGTAGGAGGGGAAAGCCCTGCCCTGCAGGAAATCTGGATTCGGGCCAGGCTGAGACTGCAGCACTAGGGCCGAAGAGTAAATGCTGTGGAACAAGAAGCTGCCTCTGAGCAGAGCTGCCCAGAGCAGAGCCAGCCGCATTTGAAAGCAGCCAGCTCGCTCCCGGCTGATCTGGTTCCCGGTGGAGTCGAGAGGAGCTGGGGCAGGCTGTGGGGCAGGGCACCCAGGGTTTTCTGCTTAAGGCTCCAGCCCCACGCCAGGCACAGACTGAGAGACACGCGTCGGCTGTCAGCAGAAACTGCTCCGTTGGAGTCGGTCCTGGGCCGGGTGCTAGAGGGTGCTGTTCTGCTGGGGGTGCTACCCACCTCTGCGCATCGACACCTCCTGGGCGCATGCCACAAGAGCAGGGGAGCCTGGCTAGTTACCTTCTGCTACCTCAGATTCCCCTGTCAGCGGCATTTGGCATTGGGATTTTTCTTCCCTTCTTATCCTAAACTCTAACTGTGCTTTTATCAAACAGCTGCCACATTCCACACCAGAGGTGGCTGCCTTCTAGTAATGGGGGAAATGATTCCCATGCTAATGCATGCAGGGCTTGCTTATTTCACAGGGGAGCTGAAGATTAATTAGCTAGTGCTTGTGAAAGGGCTTGGAAGGTGGGTAAAGCGAAGTGTCATTTCTCGGGTGGGGTATTTTCAAGCAGAATGGTCCCTCCTTTCACTGGAGGATGCAAGGGTGATGTGTGACTATCCCTGCACCCACGGGAGATCCTCCTGCCAGACTTCCTCTCCCAGCACCCACAACTGGCTCGCGCGCCTTCGACTGATTGCAAGGGAGGTAGCTCGTTCTGCGCTGACGCTCTCAATAGCCTAGACCCAAACGTCACACGTAAAAGCCCCAGGCGGTTCGTCATCTAATGCGTTCTGGCGCTTTGCTATCAAAGGCCACGTTCTTGGCTCCATCCAGCCTCCACTGAGGACAGCTGAGATGGGAACTTGCTGATCCCGGGGCCCGTTCTGTGCCCAGGGGCTGCTCGAAAGTGCACTGTCCCCTAAGGCCATCTACCAGCATGCTGCAGCCCCGCCTGCCTGTCTGCCCCAGCTTGGCCTCTCTGCCTGCAGCTTCTATGGAGGCTGGTGTGTAGGATCCAGCTGTGCCACCTCTGGTCTCCCCTAGAGCTGCTGTCCGGCCTCTTTGCAGCACTAGACCAGAGCAGAGAGGGCTGGGCTGCAGCCCACAATCGGGTCCCGAAAGCTTAAGAGCCATGCCAACTCTTCAGAGAGGCTAAGGAATGAATCCTCCACCCCCCTTTGAGGCAGGCAACCTTGGCTCTGTTTTACAGAAGGGGGCCAGAGAGCTGAAGGCCCAGCTCCAGAAAGTGACATAAGAGCTCAGTGGTTTGTGAACTCACCCAGGAGGTGGGGGACCCCCCGGTTCAAGTCCTACCTCTGGCTGATCATGAGAAGGGATGTGAGCTGGGATAATAGGCAGCAGGTTTAAAACAAACAAAAGGCAGTATTTCTTCACACAACGCACAGTCAACCTGTGGAACTCCTTGCCAGAGGATGTTGTGAAGGCCAAGACCATAACTGGGTTCAAAAAAGAACTAGATAAACTCATGGCGGCTAGGTCCATCAATGGCTATTAGCCAGGATGGGCAGGGATAGTGTCCCTAGCCTCTGTTTGCCAGAAGCTGGGAATGAGCAACAGAGGATGGGTCACTTGATGATTCCCTGTTCTGTTCATTCCCTCTGGGGCACCTGGCACTGGCCACTGTCGGAAGACAGGATACTGGGCTAGATGGACCTAGGGTCGTTCTTATGGACCTACCACCCCTCAGGTGACTGCCCTCACCACTGGGCTGTAGAGTCATTCTCATTCCTTTCTGCCTGAATTAATATTTAATCATTACAATGGAACAACTATGTACATCCCATAGTCCACTGGTCGGGGCACTCACTGGAGAGGAGGTAGATCCCTGTTCGAATCCTTTCGCCCATGGGATCAGGTTTGCCATCCTTGCCAGTTCAGGGAACTGCTAATCTGGGATTTCTGACAACGAGGCCTAGTGGGTAGAACCCTGGACTGGAACTCAGGAGACCCGGGTCTTTTCATGGCTCTTCTGCTGAGTGACCTTGGGCAAATCACTTCCCCTCTCTTGCCTCAGTTTCCCCATCTTTAAACTAAGGGTAATAATACTTGTGTCCTTTGAGACCTACGGCTAAATGGAGCTAAGTCCTCTCATTTGTGTGTATGCAGGTGTAAAAATAGCTTGTAACATCGGACCCACCACGTCTGACTCACCTGGCTTTAATTTTAAGGCAGCATTTAAAGTACTGGAGTCCTTGGTGTGTTTTGCTGTTTTGGTGACATGTTTAAAATCTCGCCCACCGTTTCCTGCAATCTCCCTTGGTCGGGTTGTCAGGGCTTCAGCCCCTGGAGCTTGTTGGACAAACTGTTTTCTCAAAGCCCGGTAGATTTCATTCTTTTCCCTCTGATCAGATTCCCCAGCAAGAAACTTACAAAGAAGGACAGGAGTCCTTGTGGCACCTTAGAGACTAACAAATTTATTTGAGCATAAGCTTTCGTGGGCTACAGCCCACTTCATCGGATGCATAGAATGGAACATATAGTGAGGAGATATATATATACACATACAGAGAGCGTGAACAGGTGGAAGTTGCCATACCAACTCTACGAGGCTAATTAATTAAGATGAGCTATCATCAGCAGGAGAGAAAAAACTTTTGTAGTGATAGATGGCCCATTCCAGACAGTTGACAAGAAGCTGCGAGGATACTTAACGTGGGGAGATAGATTCAATGTGTGCAATGGCTCAGCCATTCCCAGTCTCTATTCAAGCCTAAATTGATGGTATCTAGTTTGCATATTAATTCAAGTTCAGCAGTTTCCCGTTGGAGTCTGTTTTTGAAGCTTTTCTGTTGCAAAATTGCCACCTTTAAGTCTGTTCCTGAGTGATCAGCGAGGTTGACGTGTTCTCCGACTGGTTTTTGAATGTTATGATTCAAAAACATTCAAGAGCTGGTTGTCCCACTTGAATCCAACGATAGGGAGCCCACCATAACCCTGCCTCCTAATGCTCCGTATCCAGGAGCCCTGGGAACGCTGTAAGGCTTGGGCTGCGCTACAGAGTGAGGTGGATCTAAGGCAGCTTATGTCGAATTAACTATGTCAGTGTGTGTGCTACAGCCTTGCTCCCGCCGATGTAAGTGCCCCCCCCCCCCCCGAGGCGTGGGACTTCTGTCCGTGTAGTTAGGGCCACGCAGTGTCCTGTAGACACTTACTTACACTGGCGGTTGGCTAAAATTCTTGTCAATTTCACGGCTGTGACTTGACAGGAAAGGCTGGTAGGTTCCCTGCTGTGAACCCTGTGCCTGGCTGGCAGCTCCGGCTACCTGCTGGGAACCAGGCTACTTCCCGGTTCCCAGTTCCCAGCCGGGCTGCTGCCTGGGCTCCCCGCTCTGAGCCCGGGGAACGGAGCTCCCAGAGCTGTCGGAGTGCTGCTGCTCTGCAGAGACAATAGCAGTGTGAAAGTTACAAGTATGTCAGTTTCACTGCTGGCAGGCTCTGTGCTGTGAAATTAGAGTGACCAGACAGCACATGTGAAAAATCGGGACAGGGGGTGGGGGGTAATAGGAGCCTATATAAGAAAAAGACCCCAAAATCAGGACTGTCCCTATAAAATTGGGACATCTGGTCACCCTATGTGAAATTCAGCTTTAGCGGGGGCGAACGGGGTCACAGCATGGGGCTGTCACTTGGGCGTGGATGGGGGCTCCAGCCGTGAGCCTCGTATGACTGTCAGTGCCCCACGCTTGGCTGTCAGTTCCCCACAATGCCCTACTTTAGTAGGTACAAACACTCCTGGTGAGGACACACTCCAGTGGCAGGAGGAGGGTTGTGTGGACACCAACAAACGACTGAATTACCGTGGTGGCTGTAGGTCGACCTAAATTAAGTCCACCTCCTTGTTTTTACAGCTGGTGACAAGGTGGACTTTGAAACTGCCTGGCAGGGTTAACGCTTGGTTAGTCACCAGGAGAGCAAAACACCTGCTGTCCCGGCCAGCAGCTTAGGCTGTAACATGTGGTTTTTTGTTTGTTCCCCCCCCCCCCACCCGATGTATCCAACTTAGACCAGTTATTTGTCTGACACCTGAACAACACCTGTATAACCAGTTTGGCTGCTGCATCTTGCTCCCAACTGCGTGCAGTACGGGGCGCTGTGTGTGTCCTCCAGGCATGCTGTGTCCTGCTAAGCTACCGGGGGTTTCCCAGCACACATCAATAAACAGCATGGCCTGCTGGGACACACCTCTGTTGAGTCATGGGTGTGTTGTGAAAAGAGCTGCTGTGTGATCACAACTAACACACTGGTTACAAAACGTGGCTGTACTTAGAGGTGATGGGCTGTTCTCCAAGGATCTCTGACTGCTCCACGAACATTTAAACCTCACCCCGACCCTGTGAGGTGCGTTGCCATTAACCCCGTCTGCAAATGGGGGAACCAAGGTCTAGATAGACTCAGGTTGAAATTCTCAGAAGTGGCCTCTGATTTTGGGTCCCTCCATTTTTGGGACACCCACCATGGAACAGCTAGTCCCTGACTTCCAAATGTGCCGGGACGCCCTGTCACCCACTGATTTCCCCTAGAGCCTCTGAAAACCCGAGTGTCCCAAGCTCTATGGGGCAGGAACTGTCTCTCTGTTTGTGCAGCCCAGTGGATCCTGGTCTTGTAGGCGCGACACTAATAGAAATAACAATAAGTCAGGCACCCAACATTTAGTGTCCTGCAGAGATTCCTGAACAGAGCTGGGAACAGAACCCAGGAATCTTGACTCCAGTCCCCTGCTTTGCCCATGCATGGTGCGGACGCTTTCCTTTGGGAGGCATGACCCATAAGCGGGCCTAGTCGCACTGCATTACACCCATGCGCCGGCCTCTTGAGGTTCACAATAATAGAATGTAGAGATGGAAGAAGACCCGTAGGCCTGGTCACCCCATTTTGCAGGTGGATAAATTGTATGTTAAGCTGGTGGCGGCAGGCTCCTTCTAGAACTGGGGGTTCTATCGTGTCTGACCACTCCCCCAGATTTCAGAGAAGGGGTTCTGATGAATGGGTCCCCCCTCGCCCGCACACGACGCTCGTGGTCCCCATGCCCTGGTTCTCTTTGCTTCCTTGCAGATACCAAACTCTTGGAAAAGTCCAGCTTGCTGGTGCATTTCACAGAGAAGCTACAGGCTGAGTCCTTTGCTCTCCAGGCCCCTAGGTAAGTAGAATGGCTCTGACTTCTTCCTCCTCAGGCATGGAGAAGGCGTGACAGCTTCCCAGAGCCAGCAGCACCGGGATGTATCCCCGCTGCCCCTACAACGGCTGCACTGTTATCTTTGGAAGTTCATAGGCAAGAGTAGCTGACCCTTTCCCTGGTCCCTCGCAGCACCGAATGCCTCTGACTAGCGGAGGCTGTCCGTGCCCTGGGGAGGAGGGGCTTTCACAATCAGACCTTTCTTCCTTTCCAACAAAAATCCACTGAGTCAGCCAGACACCGGTTCCTGGCTCCCCAGCTGAGTAAGAATGGGAAGTGGCTCAGGATGGACAGAGCCACGCTTTCTCCTCTCTCAGTGCTAGGGTGACCAGAGGGCAAGTGTGAACAATCGGGACAGGAGGTGGGGGGTAATAGGAGCCTATATAAGAAAAAGCCCCCAAAATCAGGACTGTCCCTATAAAATCGGGACATCTGGTCACCCTAGTCAGTGCTGAGCAGCTGCTGTTGTCTTTCAGAGGAGACGTTAATAACTTAGTGATCTGGACCATAGAGCCCAAGTGACTTTTTTGCAAGAGTAAGGGGAGGTTAAGTTTGGGAGCCAGGCCAGATTGCGTTGTGGGGAATTATGTTCTGCCTTCCTAGAGCCCCTCTGCAGCTTCAGTTTGATATGTTTTGCTTCTTCACGTCCTGCCCCAAACTGCGGTGTGTTTAACAGCGGCCAATGTTCCACCCCAGAATCAGCTGCACTGCAAGAGGTGAACAAAGCAATCCTCCTACGTGCGGGTGTCTCTTGCTCTCTCACCCCACCAAAATCTGCGAGCCAGATTCTGCCACGCTTATTCCAGCTGACAGTGGGTCGGGGCCCAGCGTCTGGTCTGATCTGGCAATGGTAACGTTGCACAGTTAACCTTTAGCAGCAGTTCCGTTATGCAAAGATAAAGATAACCGGACTTGCCTTGGTTACACGCACCGCAAAATCTGTGGCGTGTGCGACATAGCGTGATGGACGTTGCAGCAGGAGCTCTTGGCTTTTGCACGCCTTGACTTTCAGACGGCGAAACGGGTATTTTTAATGTTGCATTAAGAGCGAGGTCTGCATTGAATATCCACGGAGAAGCCAATTATCCTCTTTGTTTCATTAGGCCCTCGGCGTCACACCTCGTGGAGGGCAGCGGGGGCAGGAGAGAGCATCTTTGCTACAGGCAGTTTGGCTTCACAGAGCCGAAACACCTGTGTTTACACTATGATTTTTAGCTGCAAAAAAAGCAGACGCTGGGCTGTTCCCCAATGAAAGCTGCGGGTGTGCTGAAGTTCAGGTTCTGCTTCATTTATTTTTTTGAAATGAACGAAGCAAAACAATTCATTGCAACGTTGCCCTCTCTTTCTTGCACATTGCCCCAGTGGAATTGCCCCTCTGCCTCAAGAATCTGCCGCGTGCTCCTGGGGAAGGCAGATCTTCATTAAACTCTGCTGCACACTCAGCAGCTGCGTGCTCAGAAGTGACTTTGGTTTTGTTTTTTAACCGGCTCTGTCTATAGGTCAGGGCGGGAAACCAATGGCTCTGCGCTGGAACCGGGCTTGGGCTCCCCAGAAGCGCTGCAGACCCTGAAGATAAAGTGCCAGGGGCAAATTGCGGAGATGAAAGGCGTCAGTGGGGAGGTACGTAGGGGGAGGGAAGGTACCGAGTGTCAGCTCTGGGTTGTCATTTGCCCTGGGTTTGTACAGCGCCTAGCAGGGGCTGGTGTCTATATAGAGTTGCCAACGTTGTCCTTCAAAAATCTGGAACTGTTTTCTTAGCCCCTGCATTGCGGGGGGGGGGGGGGGGGGGGGAGGGGAGGGGGAGTAGCCTGGGCCCACCAGTGTCAGGGTGGGGTGCCCAGTTCCATATAGGGTTTGCGGGGGGGTGGAACAGACCGTGTTGGCAGTTGAGGAAAATTCCTCTCCCTGCAGCGGTCAGGCTGTCTTGGCGGCCTGGGCCCAGCTCCGGGAGTGACCAGGGCGGCGGGGTCGGGAGGGGAGTGGAAAGAGGCACCCGTGAGTACAGCCCCCTGCTGATTTCAGCCCTTTCAGCGGCCCCGTCTGCTTTCCCTGTGCAGGGCCTGTCGGGGGGGGCAGGGGAGGGTCAGTACTCCCAGGGAATAGCCTCTCTGCTCTCAGGGTCTCTGCCAACGGCCCCAGCCGAGGAGCATGACTGCTGGTTGGTGGCTACAGCAGCAGTGGGAGAGGGAGGTGGGCGGGAAGCCTGTTCCCAGGGCCGACGAGAGGGCGGGGGGAAGCCGGTACAAATTACCGGGGCCCGGCGGTCCGGAAGGGGGCCCGGGCCCCGGCTTCCCCCCCCTCTCGTCGGCCCTGTTTAGCCGGTCCGCCCTTGCTGGGGGGCCCAAAAATTTTTTTTCACCGGGGCCCGAACCCGCTCTCGGCGGCCCTGCCTGTTCCTGGCAGCCGAGATCACCTGCACAGAGCCCTGTCCGCATCCCCTGCCAGACAGAGCCCCCTCCTGACTCCAGCCTTTCAGTGTGGCCCCATCATCTCTTCGTGCCCCCCGATAACCTTATTGCACCCCCCTAGTTTGGGAGCCTCTGTGCAATAGGTACAGGGGGTCCATAAATCACAGGCCTGATTCTGCATTGCAGCCTTGTGTGATTTTTACAAACTTTCGAGCATGGGAAGGTAAGGAAATCACCGCGCTGGCTTTGCAGAATGAGAACATTTAAAAAATGATGAAATCTGGGAGAAAAGGTGTCTCTTTAAATAAGAGACGTCCCTTGTAATACGGGACTGCTGCCAGCCCTATGGCTAGGCGCTGCCCCTAGTAAGCACGGTGTGACGGTTTGGATCACAGAACCCCCCTTGGGACCTGCCACCCAATGTACCAAGACTACCCCTGTTCCTGTTTTCCCTGCCAGCCAGACACTCCAGTCCGCTCCAACACAGACCCAGGATCTGAATCACTTGTCCCAAAGCTGCAAGTTTACCTGAAAACAGCTCACAGAAGTGTGCTTGTCTTTAGCACTCAGATGCCCAACTCCCAATGGGGTCTAAACCCAAATAAATCCGTTTTACCCTGCATAAAGCTTATGCAGAGCAAACTCATAAATTGTTCGCCCTCTATAACACTGATAGAGAGATATGCACAGTTGTTTGCTCCCCCAGGTATTAATACATACTCTGAGTAAATTCCTAAATAAAAAGTGATTTTATTAAATACAGACAGTAGGATTTAAGTGGTTCCAAGTAGTAACAGACAGAACAAAGTAAGTCACCAAGCAAAATAAAATAAAATGCGCAAATCTATGTCTAATCAAGCTAAATACAGATAATCTCACCCTCAGAGATGCTTCAGTAAGTTTTTCTCAGACTGGACACCTTCCAGGCCTGGGCACAATTCTTTCCCCTGGTACAGCTCTTGTTCCAGCTAGGGGATTCTTCATGATGGCTCCTCTCCTGCTCTGTTCTCTTCCGCCCCTTTATATATCTTTGGCATAAGGCGGGAACCCTTTGTCCCTCTGGGTTTCCACCCCCCCCCCACTGGAAAAGCACCAGGTTAAAGATGGATTCCAGTTCAGGTGACATGATCACATGTCACTGCAAGACTTCATTGCCCACTTGCCAGCACACACATATACAGAAAGACTAGCAGGTAAACACAGCCATCTGCAGACAATGGTCCTTGTTAATGGGAGTCATCAAGATTCCAAACCATCATTAATGGCCCACACTTTACAGAATTACAATAGGCCCTCAGAGTTATGTTTTATATTTCTAGTTTTAGATACAAGAGTGGTACATTTATACAAATGGGATGATCATACTCAGTAGATTATAAGCTTTGTAATGATACCTTACAAGAGACCTTTTGCATGAAGCATATTCCAGTTACATTATATTCACTTATCATATTTTTATAAAACGATTCCAGTTACATTATATTCACTTCTTATGTTTTTATAAAACCATATAGACTGCAGAACGTCACACACGGACTCTGCACTTGCAAAGAAGGCAGGGCGTGGTATTGCAGAGCGCTCAGCTTTGCTGGATTTATTTATAGGCAGCAGGTTTAAAACAAACCAAAGGAAGTATTTCTTTACACAACGCACAGTCAACCTGTGGAACTCCTTGCCAGAGGACGTTGTGAAGGCCAAGACTATAACAGGGTTCAAAAAAGAACTAGATAAACTGATGGAGGATAGGTCCATCAATGGCTATTAGCCAGGATGGGCAGGGATGGTGTCCCTAGCTGGGACTGGGCAACAGGGGATGGATCACTTGATGATCACCTGTTCTGTTCATTCCACCACAGGCACCTGGCATTGGCCTCTGTTGGAAGGCAGGATACTGGGCTAGGTGGACCTTTGGTCTGACCCAGACTGGCCATTCTTAGCACTATGGACCATTCTTAGCACTATGGACAGTACCATTATGGAGATTGTAGATTAGAGAGCAACTGGGGAACCCGTCTGCAATTCTGGCATCTGGAAAATCACTCTCTACAAGGAGCTCCCAGACTTTTTAGTTTGTTCCTATAGCTTGGAAATGGCTTTTTAATAGGAAGAGCAGGCTGAGTACTATAGGCAGTGGTGTAGTAGCTGTGTCAGTCACGGGATGTTCGAGAGACATGGTGGGGGAGGCAATATCTTCTGTTGGACCAACTCGTGTAGCTGAGAGAGACAAGAAGTTGGTCCACTAAAAGATAGTCTGAGTGTTGTCATGCAAGTGAGCAACAAAAAAACCCAATCTGTCATCATTCTTGTATCCCACCACACACACCACAATCTCAGGTGGAGTCCGGTTTATTACTCAGACCAGCTCTGCCTCGTGTGCTCCACAGCCCTTGAGAAAGCTATGTTCACAAACGTGCGTTTCTCTTTGGAAGATCATCTGGCCTTTGAAATCTCTCTCGTTTGCAGTTGGCGTATCGAATTATTGAACTGAGCAAATTGCTCAAGGCCAAAGAGTGTAAACTGCAGGAGCAGAAAACAAGGTAAGGATGCTCCCCAAACTCCTGGATGCACCTGATTTAACATGGCTTCCTTCCAGTGCATTTCTCCTTGGGGCTTATTTTATAGGGACACTTGTTTATTTAACCAGCATGAGGGGGCAGGTCTGCTCTACAAAACTGGCCCCTCCTTCCCCTACAGACCTCCTCCTGTGTTGGAATCACAATCTGAGCAGCCAACTTTAATGGCAGTAAATGTTTACTACTCTTCAGTCCTCCTAGCCCTGCAGAGATCACTCAGCGAGCTGGGCGTGTGGCAGAGAAACCTGCACAGTGCATGCCTCGGTCTAGCCAGTTACCTGACTTTCAGCCTACATTGTATGTTTCCCCCTCTGCCTGATCCACAGAGGATATGAGTCTGCTACAGTTCCCAGCTAAGGGACTTAAGCCTTTAGCTCAAGCTGGAGAGGCGCGTGCTCTCAACTCTGGAGGCCCCGGGTTCAATCCCTGGTGGTGATCAAGATGGCAGTTGCTCCAGTCTAGGAGCTCACTTTCAGGGGTGCTGATAAAAGTTTGGGATGCAAGTCGGGGGGAGCCCATTCCCTAGAGTGCTGTCTCTTGGTTTGGCTCAGGCTGGCGTCCCTGAGCGGGCGGATCTCTGAGCTGGAGGCAGAGCATCAGCAGCTGAAGGGCCGGGCGGAGGATCTGGGCAGCGGGAACTGGGCCAGGAAGGCGGAGTACGACGCGCTTCGCGAGCGTTACCGGCTCCGGGATGGGGAGCTGCGGCGAGCGGCCGAGAAGGAGCAGGAGCTGATTGAGAGCCTGGTGCGGAAGAAAGTGGAGGCTGCCGAGCACCAGAACAAGAAGAACGAGAGGTTGGTTAAGGGTCTGTCGCTGCCCAGCGTATGAGAGAGACTCGTCTGGGCTGGTGGGGGGCACAGGGCATGCAGACCAGACCGGTGGGGGATGCTGCTGCAGAGGCCCAGGGCAGGAGGGAATTTTGCCCAACCCTCCTCCACTGGAAGGATGGACCCTGCAGTGCAGGGGATTGGAGCAGAGGATGGGGGCAAGGCAGACCATGTGCAAGGCTCTGCTCACAGTCCCTGCGGCTCTGCCAGCCCCCTGGAGCGATGGGTTGTGTCAGTGTCCTGGAGCGGGGAACTCACTGGCTGAGGCCAGTGGGAGCCCTTGGGTGGGATTTTGCAGCCGATCCAAAGGCCGGGGGATGAGGTTATCAGTGGGCCATGGACGTGCCATGTGCTGGCTGTCTAGTGAGGGTCATGGGGCCAGACAAGCACCTTAGTATCTGAGTGACTCTCAGCCTTTAATGACCTTATCCTCCCAGCCCCCCTGTGAGGCAGGGCTGGGCTGTTATTCCTGCTGTACGGATGAGGGAACTGAGGCACAGAGCGGTTAAAGGACTGACCCAAGGTCACACGGGCAGTCTGTGGCAGAGGAAGGCCTTGAACCGAAGGTTCACATGTCCCAGGCCAGGGCCCTAGCCACTGGGCCATCCTACTTCTTGATGGAAATGGACCTGTTCCGTTGCCCTCTGCTTGTGCTTACTTCCAGCCGGCCGCCAGCTGTGTTGCTTCCCTGTGAGGAAGACATAAGCCCTAATAATATCACCAGCCAAGGGAGGTCTCTACCTCGCACAGCAGAGCGCTGCGAGGCACAGTCAACCTGCGCAACTCGGTGCCAGGGGATGGGGTCAGGGCCAAAACTAGAACTGGGTTTGAAAAGGAACAAGATAAGTTCATGGAGGGTAGCCCCCCAGTGGCTCTTAGTGGGGTTGTCGATTAATCGCAGTTAACTCACGTGATAAACTCAAAAAAATTAATCACAATTAAAGAAATTAATTGCGATTTAATCACAGTTTTAATCCCACTAGATAATAGAATACTAATTGAAATGTATTAAATATTTTGGATGTTTTTCTGCATTTTCATATATATTGTGTTCTGTGTTGTAATTGAAATCAAAGTGTATATTATTTTTATTATAAATATTTGCACTGTAAAACGATAAACAAAAGAAATAGTTTTTTCAATTCACCTCATACAAGTACTGTCCTGCAATCTCTTTGTCAGAAAGTGCAACTTACAAATGTCGTTTTTTTGTTACATAAATGCACTTAAAAACAAAACAATGTAAAACTTCAGAGCCTGCAAGTCCACTCAGTCCTACTTCTCGTTCAGCCAATCGCTCAGACAAACACGTTGTTTACATTTACGGGAGATAATGCTGCCCGCTTCTTCTTTACAATGTCACCTGAAAGTGAGAACAGGCATTTGCATGGCACTTTTGTAGCCGGCATTGCAAGGTATTTACGTGCCAGATATGCTAAATATTCATATACCCCTTCAAGCTTCGGCCACCATTCCAGACAACATGCTTCCATGCCGATGATGCTTGTTAAAAAAACGAGTTAATTAAATTTGTGACTGAACTCCTTGGGGGAGAATTGCATGTCTCCTGCTCTGTTTTATCCACATTCTGCCATATATTTCATGTTATAGCAGTTTCGGATGATGACCCAGCACATGTTCATTTTAAGAACACTTTCGCTGCAGATTTGACAAAATGCAAAGAAGGTACCAATGTGAGATTTCTAAAGATAGCTACAGCACTGGAACCAAGGTTTAAGAATCTGAAGTGCCTTCCAAAATCTGAGAGGGACGAGGTGTGGAGCATGCTTTCAGAAGTCTTAAAAGACTCTGATGCGGAAACTACAGAACCCGAACCACTAAAAAAGAAAATCAACCTTCTGCTGGTGGCATCTGACTCAGATGATGAAAATGAACATGCGCTGGTCCGCTCCGCTTCGGATCATTAGAACCCATCATCAGCATGGACGCGTGTCCTCTGGAACAGTGATTGAAGCATGAAGGGACATATGAATCTTTAGCGCATCTGGCACGTAAATATCTTGCGATGTTGGCTACAACAGTGCCACGAGAACACCTGTTCTCACTTTCAGGTGGCATTGTAAACAAGAAGCAGGCAGCATTATCTCCTGCAAATGTAAACAAACTCGTTTGTCTGAGCGATTGGCTGAACAAGAAGTAGGACTGAGTGGACTTGCAGACTCTAACATTTTACATTGTTTTATTTTTTAATGCAGTTATTTTTTTTGTACATAATTCTACATTTGTAAATTCAACTTTCAGGATAAAGAGATTGCACTACAGTATTTGTATGAGGTGATCTGAAAAATACGATTTCTTTTGGGTTTTTTTACAGTGCAAATATTTGTAATAAAAAGCAAATATAAAGTGAGCACTGTACACTTTGTATTCTGTGTTGTAATTGAAATCAATATATTTGAGAATATAGAAAACATCCGAAACTATTTAAATCAGTGGTATTCTATTATTGTTTAACAGTGCGATTAATCGCACGATTAATTTTTTTAATTGCACGACAGCCCTAGCTATTAGCCAAGATGGTCAGGATGCAACCCCACAGCCTGCGTGTCCCTAGCCTCTGTTTGCCAGAAGCCGGGAATGGGTGACGGGGGGTGGATCACATGGTGATTCCCTGTTCTGTTCATTCCCTCTGGGGCACCTGGCACTGGCCACTGTCGGAAGACAGGATACTGGGCTAGATGGACCATTGGTCTGACCCAGTCTGGCCGTTCTTAGTTTTGGAGCTGCCCACTGTAGACTGGATGCAGATGTCCTTAACCCTGTGTCCTCCAGCTCTGCTCCTGGTAAGGGCTAAGATTGCCTGGCTCTGCTCCCCCCTTTGCTAGGTCTGATGCAATTGCCTGAGGGCTAGGCCCAGGAGGGGGAGTTTCTGAACTCTCTCTCTGGACGCAGCCTGGCAAGGGGACATGCAGCTGGGAAGGAGCCGCGCTGGTATATCCCAACCCCCTCAGCTTGTCCTGTCTGTCCCTGTAGGGTGAAGCAAGCCCGGCTGTTCAGGGAGCTGAAGGATGCGATGAAGAGAACTGTCAGTATTGATGTGTAAGTAGCTGACGAGGCGGTGAGACAGACCTGGGGTTCTCAGGAGGGCTGGTGATGCATGGTCATGCAGCCCTGCCGAGAGGTGGGGCATTCTGGGAAAAGGGAAGATGGTATGTCCCAAGAGAAGTCATTTAAGCCCCATCGCGGGAGCGACTGCGTGGGTCAGGCCTGGCAAGAGGCCAGTGAGGCTAGAAACGGCTGGCTTAGTGCTGAAGAGTGGGTGTAGACCTCCGAAAGGTTCCCCAGCAGCTGTCTTTTCCCTGGGCGTGGTTAGCAGCCAGCGCCCGTCCCTGCCTCCAGCCGGAGTGCATCTGCTCCTTAGCTGCTTGCAGTTGGTTCTCCTGAGCTCATCTCCTGACCCACGGCCCAGGACGCTGCGTAGGAATCGAGGAGGCTTCTGGGTTCCGTCCGAGCAGGTGGAGAAAAGGCCCTGCTGGCGGCGTGTGCGCCGTACCGCCATGGTCAGTCCTAGTGCTGATCGACCTGGCTTGACTCTCCGGGCCTCTCCACTTGAAGACACGGCACGACGGCAGTGTAGATACTCCCTGTAGTGACCGGAGGAGTTCCCATCGGCGTAGGTAACCCGCCTCCCCGAGGGGCAGCAGCGAGACTGACGGAAGAAATTTTCCCTTGACCTCTCGCTGCCTGCGCCGGAGGCTGGGTCGGCACAGCTCCGTGGATTTTTCATACCCTGAGCGGTGTTGCTGGGCCGGTGTAGTGGTAGACCAGCCCTTGGCAACGTCAGCAGCCTTCCGGAGCTTAGAGACAAGCTGTCCAGCTGCTCTTCCACGTGGGTATCTACGGCTCAACCGAAACACTTTAAAAATGACCGTGCGTCCAGCTGAGAAGCTCTTGTTCTCTGGCCGTGGACGTGATCTGACTTTGGGAACTCTACCAATGAAGCCTGAAGCTCATGAGCCCCCAGCCCAGCAAGGCTGTGATTGGCCCATTACTGGGCATTCCTTCGTTCGTCCGCACCTCTCATCTCAGTGACATGCGTGATAATTGGTCTCTGGACGGTTGTGTTGTTGAATTCCAGGTCTGACAGGATAATAGAAATCAGAAGTGGAAAAACACTTCTACTCCCTACGCCCTGGCCAGCATTTTTACCAGTAGAGAGTTGTGATGGTTCTTGGGGTACGCAGGATGGAGAAGTAGAGAGAAGGGGTAACAAGGCGACTCTCAAGCACTCTCCTCTGGGCTAGGCCAGCCCTGCTCCGGCGTGCAGGTTAAGAATAGATGAGTCCCCTTGAAGCATTCCCCTGCGACGGCCAGCCCCTGGCACTGGCTCTTCCCGAAATCCCAGATCCTCTGCTCCGAAAGGTGCAGCGTCCCCCCAGTTGACTAGTTTTACCTTAAATCACCGCTCCTGTATAACACACAGCCCTTGTAATAAAACCCAGGAAGGGTCGTTTAAGAAAGGCTCTCGATTCAGCTAGAAACAAGAGAGAGGGGGATTGAAACAAATGGTTACAATACAAAACAAAATCACAGAGCACAAACTGGTCCCTACGCTCATTAATCGTTCCCGTTCTTATCCGATCAAGTCGCTTTCCCCCTACGTTCAGTCTGTTGCGGAGCTGGCTGGTTTCACAGGCACCAGGGTCCAAGCTTTCGGCGAACACCCCGCTCCACAAGACAGCTCCTTGGGAAACGGGTGCAGAGGTTCTCTCCCCGCGCTGTGTTATACAGAATCAGTCCGTTGTCTTTATTCACGGGCAAGGGGGATCGCGTTCCTTTTTACCGCCAGGTGGGTTTGATTGTTTGCGGTTGTCGCTGATGGTTTTCCGGTGACTGTTCTGGGATGGGGCACGGGTAGACAACTGAGCCTCGCGTGACGTCACCCGCTGGCTAGGAGACGGGGGGCCATCGCCAAGTAATATTACTGCCTGGTGACTCCTTTTTACCTTGAGACCAGAAGGGCATTAAACGTCAATACAGTTCCAATATCCCTTAAATATCACCCGTACATGCATCACGCCATAATCATGCCTATGGGTAAGTCACGAGCTTTTGATGGAGACCTTACACATTACCCTTTATGGGTAAATACTCTGCAAGCAATGTATTTGGTGTAGTGAGTTTGCCAGGTCTGAAACGGGAGGTTTTTGCCAAGGGGCCTTTGTGTCACACTGGTAAACAGCCCTTTAACCAATACAGCTGTGCTTTTCCCGGTAGCCTGTATGCTAGGAGTACTTTGCCGGTATAGCACCATGCATTCCTATGCCAGTGGGGCCAGCCATGGCCCGGGTGTGGGCACAGTTCTGTCGGTTGCCCCGGGCTAACTGCCTTTGTGCTGGGCTAGTGCCACTTAAATGGCAGCAGGCTCTAAACGGAGCTAGTTGAAGGGGTACAAAACCCGCCTGCAGCCGAGCTGTCGGAGGCTTTGGTTACCCAGCCCCCCGTTGACTGGGCCCCCAGGCTAACTTGCTGCTTCGTTCTCCCCGCAGGGAATCGGACGAGCTGAAGCCGGCAGAGGTGAAAGTGCCTGTCCGAGAGCCGGAGGAACTGGAGGGTTGCGAGAAGCTGTGGAAAAGGCCCTTCAGGTAGGAGGCTGCCGCGTGGTCGTGGCAGAGAGCGAGAACGCGCACGCACCGAGAGACGCGCACAAGGAGTTCGCGCTGACTGGGCCGAAGTGGGAGCTAAAGAGAATTGATTTCCCTACTAGTGCCCGGGCTCTGGGCATTTAACAACGCTCAGAGACCCAGCGGGATCTAAGGGAGGTTCCTGGCCTGGTTTGTAAGGCCCAGGTGTCTGTATAGCAGCCAGCGAGCGAATGTCTGATCATCTTGCTGAAGTAGCCCCAGGCCTCCAAGGGATAAGGTCAAACAAAGTTACTTGGGGGGCCAAGGGGAAGGGCAGTTCTCACTGCGCGGTGTTTGTCAGAGAGGAGACCCACCCTTCCCACCCCTCCTCAGCCTGCAGCGAAGGGACTAACCCGGGCAGGACGACCCCCGCTCAGCGCTGGAGAGGAAGGCGGAGAAAAGTCCGTGCTCGCTTCCCAAGGAAACGATCCCGTGGCTCGCGTAGTCTTGCCCTGCGCGTGTCTGCGGTTCTGAGGTGCAGATTCAGCGGCCGCCGGGCCCCGGGGCTCCTACCAGGTGGCGATGCGGCCGTGAGACTAGACGCCCTCACCGTGCCGGTTTGAGCGCTCTCCGGTTCCACCGGTCGTTATTTTTGAGCACTAGAGATGGGTGAACCGCCCGGACCAAACAAGAGCTGGCCTGAACCTCCGCCCTCCCCAAGCCCCCGTCAAACCCGAGCCATGTTGGAGGATCCCAAATGTTTAAGTGACTCTTTTTCTTCTGAAATATGGCTGCTGTTTCTCAGGCAGCTCCTCTGAGAACGCAGCACAAGAAGCCCATTCTGTCCATTGCCCCAGCACTTTGCAGGCTCACGGCCTTTGCGAGGGAGGTTGGTTAGATCACGGGGCTGGGACCCAGGTGTTCTAGTCCTGCCTCTGGCACTGACTTGCTCTGTGACCTTAGGCAAGTCCCTTTGCCTCACACTGCCTCAGTTTCCCCTTCTGTACAACGGGGGACAGTGACGCTTATAGAAAGTCCTAGCCTTGCCAGGGAACAAGGAGTGCGGGTAACCTTGTGGGAGAGTCTGTTCTCCAGAGATTTCCAGCCTGAGACGTTCGGCTTCGGTTGGGCATGGAAAAGCATCCAACCAGCCTGGATTCTGCCTTTAGACCGCTAGAGGTTCATCCATCACTAGTGCAAAAACCAGGCCCTTCCAGCTCGCTGCCCCATCAGTAACACACACCCCCCCTCCGGCTTCTCTCCAGCACCTCGGTCATCTCCCGTGGGATGTTTGGCTGGTTCTGAGGAAGAGAGACGCTGAGCTGTGTGGAAAACACAGGAGTATCCCCCCGGTCTGGGAAGGAGCCCAGCAGTGCCATGTGCTGGGCTTGAAACCATTCCCAAGCTGAGAGGTCACCGAGCCATAGAGATTACAGATGGAAAATGCCTCCTGGGTCCCTTCCAACCCTGGACTAGATACCTCCTGAGGTCCCTTCCAACCCTGATATTCTATGATCTAATCCAGCTGCTTCAGCTAAGATTGGATCATCCACTGAGGTGTATTTTCTACCTAGACATTTAAACCCCGGCTCTGCCCCAGTCTGGGGAAAGACCAGCCTTGATTCCTCCCATGGGATGAGGGACAGTGGCCAAGCAGGCCAGTCCCATCTCTGGTTCCTATGGGTCGCCCTTGGGTGCCTGCGGTCCCTGTAGGCCGGATGGCCAAGACAGGGCGAGTAAGGGGAGATAGAGCAGAGCGGATGGATGCGCTCTGTGTTATCCCAAAGGAGAAACGCAAGGCACAGGCACCGTAGGGCTGGCCCGACCGGCTCAGCCCTGGGGTCCATCCAGCCCGCTCTCTCTCTGCCCGTGGCCAGCGCCAGCTGTTCAGGGGAAGCTGTGAGACTCCCACCAGCAGCAGATGGGGGATAAACGGCCCCTACCCTGATCCCTAACAGCGGTTGGCTTAAGCCCTGACTCAAATGATGGTGGTTCTCTAGCCCCCGAGCCCTGCAGATTCGTGGCACCATCCGGGCTGGTCTTCACTGCGGGAGTAAAACTCAGGTACCCAGCTCCCTCCCTCGCTTAGCGATCGCTGGACTGTGCTCCCCAGCTGTAGACCCCCAGGGCGCGTTGCCAATGCCACGCTGCAGCCCCAGGTGCCACTAGGCACCCCATTTCTCCCCCCTGCCCCGGTTCTGGCCCACGGGAGGGATATTGACTGGAATACAGGACAGGACCCCCAACAGGCAGTGGTGGGGAGGGGGTCGAGCGTGACTGGGTCCAGACTCCCAGAGAAACTTGCTCCTGCGTGGCACATTTCCCCCTAGTGGCCTCTCCCAAAGGGCAGAGAACGAGACACTAGAGGTGAACTCCTGGTCCCATCGAGATCAATGGCAAAGCTCCCATTGGTTTCAGTGGGTCCCAGCTGTCGCCCCAGATGGGGAGGTGAAGGTTTGCCATCCTCTTGCTGCCATTGGCCCGAGCGCAGCTTGAGCCAAGCTCTCCGTCCGCGTCGGGCTTTGAGGGCAGCATTCTCCTCTGTGATCGGCTGCAGCCCCCCGACCCGGCCTGTGGCCCGCCGCCCGGGTGGGAGAAGGGGACGTTGCCCGGAAGGCTGGGAGAGCCGTGACGCAAAGAACAACCCCGTCCCGTTCCCAGCCGTGCTTTGCTCATCCGTTGCCTCCTTTTCTGTTTGGCTTTCACCGTAGATCGGCCTCCGCCACGTCCATGACTCTGGCCCAGTGCGTGGATGTCTTCAAGGGGCTGCTGGAGTAAGTTTGCTGTCGTGTGTCCTGCGTCGCCGGGGGCCCGGGATTTAATGCACTTCCCAAAGGTCTGGGTAGCATCGACTGAATGGTGGGTCTAAAGGGTCCTCCTTTCCCACCCCCATTTCCCCTCCCACCCAGCCCTCTGCTCACCGGGCTGCTGGAGTGATCTCTCGTCGTTCAGACGGGACAAGGCTCAGCTGGGCTCGCGTCAGGCCCCGTGTTCCCCAGAGGCCGTCTGCTTGTGTTGTGACCTGGGCCCGCTCTCGTTAGTTTCAGGCTGAAACGAGGGAACTCCATCAGCAGCGGATCCGAGGTGCGCTACCGCTCCATGCCCATCTGCCTCGTCACCTGCCTGCCGTCCCGAGTCAGCGACGTCCAGGTAAAAGCTCGGAGGCACTCGGGACGTGCTGGATGGGCAAACCGATCAGCGTCTCCTCTGAGCCCGCCATGCTCCCGGGCTCGCGCTCGCTTGCTCGCTTTGCTCCCCCTGGCAAACACCTCGTCTCCAGGTCGCTGGTGCACCCCCTCCAGTGCTGTTCTCTGCACCAGCTGCAGCCAAGGGTGCTCTGGAAGGAGATCAGCCACTGCCCTGGCCCGGGAGGCTGTCCACCCCGCTCCAGAGGGAGGCTCTCAGCTTCTAGACAGCACCCAGCTGCTCTGTTTTATTCTGTTCTCCGTAGCTTCCTATACCACCCTCATGACCATAGATCTGAGCATCGGCCACTCGTGCATCGGTAACCAGACCAGTGTCTGTCACGTATGTTCTCTCATCTCTCCGGGGGAGGAGGACGTGCAGGGCAGGGAGGGGCTGGGTTTGGTAGCGTTTTAGGGGGGTGGGTTTTTTAATACGCACCTTGCTCTGTTTTTTTTGTCTGTGGAGCCAAGACATGGGCCTTGGAGCAGAAAGTGGAGGGTTTGGGATGGTCCTTAGTTCAGGGGTGGGCAAACTACAGCCCGCAGGCCAGATCCGGTCCATCAGGGCTTTGGATCCGGCCCATGGGATTGCCACCCACGTGGCGCCGCGGGCCCTGTGCCGCTCCCAAAAGCGGCAGGCACAATGTCCCTGCAGCCCTGGGGAGAGGGGGTAGGGCGGGGGGGGGAGGGGCAGAGGGCTCTGCGCGCTGCCCTCGCCTGCAGGCACCACCCCTCGCAGCTCCCATTGGCTGGGAACGGGGAACCATGGCCAATGGGAGCTTCGGGGGAGGTACCCACAGGGGAGGGCAACACACAGAGCCCTGCTTCCCCTCCCCCAGGGGCTGCAGGGACGTGGTGCCAGCTGCTTCCGGGAGCAGCGCAGGGCCAGGGCAGGCAGGCAGGGAGCCGCTGCCACTCCAGGTAAGCGGAACCAGGCCAGAGGCCGCACTCCTCCTGCACCCCGCACCCCAACTCACTGCCCTGAGCCCCCTGCCGCACCCCTGCCCTGAGTCCCCGCCCGCACTCTGCATCCCCACTTTCACCCCAACCCCCTTCCCTGATCCCCCTCGTACACCCCGCACCCCCTCCCACACCCCAACCCCTTGCCCCAGCCCTACATTCATGCAATTTCCCCACCCAGATGTGGCCCTCAGGCCAAAAGCTTTGCCCACCCCTGCCTCAGTTCCTGGGGGAGTTCGTTCCAGCCCCCTCGAAGGTTCTGACTGTTAAGAGTGCCGCTGGGCCAGCGGGGCAGAGCGGTCGACAGTGGTGCCGGCCGCTTCCAGGACCTTGACCTTCATTCGCTGCCCTGTGGGAAGCCAGGGCAGAGGGGTGCGTGGTACGTGCCCGCCCAGGCCAGACGTGGTATCCCGCGTTGCTGAGGAGACGTGGTACAGCGCGTGCTACCCGGGGCCTCCTTCATAGCCCTGTGCATTGGCTGATGAGAGCGGCTGATGCCTTCCTGCTCCACATGGTGGACTCTGCACCTCGTTAATTACCTTCTTCTCTGTCACAGGCCTAGCAACTTAAAACCCATGTAGGCTGCACACATCGAGCTTCCCCGCCACACCCCAGATTCTCCTCTAGCCGACCAGCGTCTTATAGGATCTTATAGGAAGCTACGGAGAACAGAATAAAACAGAGCAGCTGGGTGTTGTCTAGAAGCGGAGAGCCTCCCTCTGGAGCGGGGCGGACAGCCTCCCGGGCCAGGGCAGTGGCTGATCTCCTTCCAGAGCACCCTTGGCTGCAGCTGGTGCAGAGAACAGCTCTGGAGGGGGTCTAGCTCAGACTGCAGTGTAAACGTACTGGAAGCATGTGGAACATAAGAACGGCCATCCTGGGTCAGAGCAATGGTCCATCTAGCCCAGTATCCTGTCTCTGACAGTGGCTGGTGCCCGATACTTTGGGGGGAATGAACCGAACAGGGCAATTATCATAGAATCTCAGTGTTGGAAGGGACCTCAGGAGGTCATCTAGTCCAACCCCCTGCTCAAAGCAGGACCAATCCCCAGACAGATTTTTACCACAGTTCCCTAAATGGCCCCCTCAAGGACTGAACTCACAACCTTGGGTTTAGCAGGCCAATGCTCAAACCACTGAGCTATCCCTCCCCCCTATGGAGTGATCCATCCCCTGTCGTCCAGTCCCAGCTTCAGGCAGTCAGAGGTTTAGGGACCTGAGCATGGGGTTCCCTCCCTGCCCATCTTGGCCAATAGCCGTTGATGGATGTATCCTCTGTGAACTTATCTAGTTCTTTTTTGAACCCAGTTATACTTTTGGCTTCACGACATCCCCAGGCAATGAGTTCCGCAGGTTGATTGTGCGTTGTGTGAAGAAATACTTCCCTATGTCTGTTTTAAACCTGCTGCCTGTTCATTTTATTGGGTGACTCCTGGATCTTATGGGTAACTAACAATGGGGCCCGGATGTCAGTTGGGCCCGTTAGTTGCCACTGGGAGACTTCTGGCAATAGCCGCCCCATGGGTCTCAGACCCTGGGGTTTGTTGTGGGAGGCGGATGCTACCTGCTGGGCCAGCTGATTGAGAAGACACTGGAGACCTGGCTAACAAACCTTGGCCGCATGCATCCAAGCCTGCAGTCATCAGCTGGGACTGACCCGGGGGCGGGGCTTCCATCGCCAAAAGCCGGGGCCCTGACCACCTGAGTCCTTCCCACTCGATGGTAGCGGAGTCTTATCCTGGCTGGGACCAGCCACTCTGCCACGCTCCGCCGGTGCCAGAGATGGGACAGGGGCTAGGACTCTGCTCAGCAGGGCCACGCAGAGGGCTGAGTTAATGTGCTGAGCCGATGCCCTCTGCCCTGGCCACGCTAAGCATTAGGGGTGGCACCTGAGGCCTGGTCACTGATCCTAGGAGACGTTCGCCCTCACGGTTTCACCAGTTCTCCTTTCTCTCCTCCAGGAGGCGCACTTCTCCGAGGTGAACGCAGTCAAGTTCAATCCCAGCTCCGGCGTGCTGGCCACAGGCGGGGCCGACAGTCTCATCAGGCTCTGGAGCGTGGCCGGAGGTACAGCAATGAACAGTTCACTGCTCCTGGCCAGGGGCGTCGAATACCCGCGCCAAGCCGCAGGTTAACGTGGGAGCGGCATTGCCAAGTGGGAGGGCGGCTGAGAGCTCACCAGCTAGCCGGGTGGTAATACCCTGTCCTGGTGGGGATCGGGCTTGTGGTCCGCTGAGCTGCAGACAGCCGGGGGGAGTGAATCCTGTCATGCTAGTGACCGTCCCCAATGCTGCAAGGGTGTCGAGGCCTTGATACATCCTCCTGTGACTGCCTAGCCCTTTCCTGCCTCTCCGTGACCTTTGCAACAGTGAGCTTGCAGTCCTGTAGTGCGCTTCCTCCAGACGCATCTCAAACCGCTTCCCTGCCCTCTCTAACACGTTGGGAGCCTCACTTTGCTGCAGCCATGTCTGGGGTGGAACCCATCAGCTCCTAAACAGAACGCAGCAATACAGTTTAGGCCAGCAAAGAGGAGCTCTGGTTTGGCCGCCCTTGTCACGCTGCAGGCTACAGAGCGCGCAGGTTGTGTCCCAGGTCTCAGGTGCAGTAGGATGTACAGGCACGGGCTTATTCCAGCCGGCAGATGGCAGGGGTCTCTGGGTCAGGTCACTGCAGAGTCTGGCCTTGACTTAGCTGTCACTCCGTCACTTGTTCTAAGTGCCTTCCCGTCAGCACACCCAGAGCCTTTCCTTTCCCCTTCCCGAAATCTCCAGGGGCGCTGCAGCCCTGGAGACAGACCCCGCCCTGACGGCCGGACACCTGCTGCCCGCCCAGGGCTTCCTTTTCTGCTCCACGTTCTCTGGCAGAGCCGTGAAATTCAGACCCAAGCATCCCCCGGGCCCTGGGTGTTCTCTGCTTAGAGACATTGCTATGTAAATATCCCCCATTGCACAGAGAGGGAAACTGAGGCACGGAGAGGTCAAGGGCTGTTTTTTAAAGTGGCCTCTGACTTGGGGTGCCTCCAGCTTCTGAGCGATGGGATTCTCAGAGCTGCCGAGCGCTCCCAGGGCCTCGGCGGCTCAGGAATTGGCGTTGTCTCCGCAGTTGTTCCGCCTCTCCCTGCTGCCCTGGGGCTAATCACCGTGCTGTTTCTGTCTGCTCTCAGGGAAGCTGGAGAACCTGCAGACCTTGGAAGGGGCTAACGGCAGCATCACCAGCATCGAGTTTGACCCGTCGGTGAGTGGGGCGTTGCTGGGCCAGCCCTGTTTGGAGTTGCTGGCGGGCCCAGCTTGGCTGGGACCGTCCTGAGCCAGGATCCCGGGACAGAGGCAGCCGGGGGAAGCCGCGGCCCCTGTGCTCAGAGCACGGCGCATCTGCCAGCTCTTCCTTTCTCTTCTACCTCCTGAGCGCCTCTCTCAGCTGCGGGCAACCAGCTCTTCCCGCTGCTGCGACCGCGAGGAGGGGGCTGATGAGGGGCAGGAGTCGTTCCTAGGGCAGAGGAGAGGTGGGGGAGCCGGGCCAGGGAAAAAACAGGCCAGAGGCCTGCAGAGTTTTTTGCCCAGTCCGGTGAAGGGTTGGTTGGTCTCCGTGGCTTCCTCACAACGTGTCGGTGGCAGAGCCCGGCCTAGCGTCTGGGTCCCCTGACTCCTCGCCGCTCCTGGAGCAGCCTCTGAGAAACGGTTCTTGCAGAGCTTGGAAGTTCTCCAGGGGTCCCAGGAGAGCCCCATGCTCTCTGAGCAGCTGGGAAGCCCCGGGGGGCGCCGGAAGGAGACCGTGATGCGTCGGGAACCCCAGGGCAGGAGAAGGGAGGCTGCTGGGAAGCTGGAGGGGGAATGGAGGCTCCAGGCCGAGGTGGGGTGGGGTGCGGAGCAGGAGTGGGACCTTTCAGGAGGGCGCTTTGAATAGCGGAGTCCACCCCAGCAGGGCCGGCTCCAGCTTTTTTGCCGCCCCAAGCGGGGAAGGGGGAAAAAAAAAAAAAAAAGCTGCGATTGGCGGCACTTCGGTAGCAGCTCTACCGCACTTCATTCTTCGGTGGCAATGCGGCGGCTGGTCCTTCCCCCCGAGAGGGACTGAGGGACCCACCACCGAATTGCTGCCGAAGACCCGGACGTGCCGCCCCTTCCCCTTGGCCGCCCCAAGCACCTGCTTCCTGTGCTGGTGCCTGGAGCCGGCCCTGCGCCCCGGGGTCTGTCTCTGGTTGGGATCAGCATGCCCTGGAGGTGCCGTGCAGCCAGCAGGAGCCTTTGCCCGGCGTGGGCACTAGATGGCGGCAGAGAGAAGCCATCACTTGGATGGCCAGCGCCTGGTGGTCCAGCGTAGCGGAAGATCTTCAAACCCAGGCTTTCTTCCAGCCCCAGCCGGTGCTCGGGTGTTCGCTGGCAGGGGCGGGGGTCTTTCGAGAGCCTCGCTGACTCCATGAGCGGGAAGGGGCCGGCTCCCCCCGCTTTGTGAGCGCTGCTAGCTCGCCGGGCGCTGTCTGGAAGGGTCAGTCCGTGCCTCTGGGACGGGGCTCTCCGCTGGGAGGTGTGTGAATGGCCGGGAAGAGAGCGGGGTTGGCTGTTTTCACCCAGCCCCGGTGGCGACAGGGGATAGTGTCAGGGGCTTCGTAGATTCCAAGGCCAGAGGGGACCGTTGTGATCACCTGGTCTGACCTCCTGTCTAGCCCAGACCAACCCCTCTGACTGGCTCCTGTTTGAACTAGAGCTAGATCCCTCCTGCTGTCTGGTCCCCCCCCGCCCCCCAGCAGTTAGTGACCTGTGCTGGCCTCCGTCCTCCCAGGGACTGAGCCGGCAGGAGGCAGAGATGGTGGGGAGAGAGGGAGGGGCTGGCCAGTAAGGGGGCACCCTACAGCATGGGAAAGGGGCTGAGCCAGGGGACTAGCCGAGGGGGAGAAGGCTGCAAGGTAGATGGGGCAGGATGCGGGGAAGCCCGGGGGCAGCAGCTCAGGTGGAAGATCCAGGCTGCCTAGATGATCGCACGGGTGTCCACGGGATCTGCGGCCTGCAGGCCCCGAAGGGGCTTCTTCACGCTAGAGAGGCAGCGGCTGAATCCAGCCTGCCTCGGGCAAAGCGAATATCCCCCCGGCGAGGAAAAGCAGCGGGCGGGTTCTGTGCGGGAGTCATTTGTCCTGGTCTCAACTGAAACCATGTGGAACGCCGCGGAGCAGCCGGGCGGCTGGCAGAGGGGAGCCGGAACGACATGCTGGCCGCTCCGGAGCGCCCCACGGCGAGGCACGGACCACGCTGACTGCACACACATGGCGTCGCCAGATCTCTGTGATCCCAGGTGCCGAGGACCGGTGGCTCTGTGTGCAGCCGAGGGCAGGAACCCCGGCTCGCGCTGCCACTCCCCGGCCGATACCCGTCAACTCCCTCTTCCTCCTCTTTCAGGGCTGCCAGATCTTGGCGGCGGCGTACAACAATGCAGCGCAGCTGTGGCATATCGGGGACTGCAAATCCAAAGTAAGTGCCCCGGGGTCTTGTCTGGGTCCCTGCCTTTCGGGGGGAGGGGGAGGATGTCCCCTGCCAACCGGGGAATGATCCAGACACTTAGGGGACTGAGGGCCACCAGGGATCACCCCCCGTTGTCGCACATCAGCTGCATGAAACATGTTCAGATCAAGCAGATGCGTGACGTCCGCTGGGTTACCTGGGGTGGGTGTCATGCCCCCAGTCTCTCGCAGCGCCTTGCCAATACCCTGAGGATGTTCTTCTGACCCCAGATCTGCCAGGCAGGGTAACCTACCAGCAGGGTGGCCGCAGCTACGCGCCTGGTCACATGTTGTCGGCAGGCAGACACGTTTCTGGTCGCCCATGAATACTTCGAAGATGGATCCCATGAGCTCTCCTGAATTTAGCACGTGTGAGAGGGGCCCTGCAGGAGGCAGTAAACTGGCCCCATTCCGGTCAGTCAGTGCTGGCATCCACATGTGGGGGGGGGGAAAACTGAGGCACAGAGCAGTGGAGTGACTTGCCCAAGGCCGCCAAGCACCTCTGGGAACAGAGTCTTGGCTCCCAAACCTGTGCCTTAGCCCCAAGGCTATCCTTGCTGCATTTTATGCCAGCAGAGAATTTGGCCCTGGGTACCTGCCGAGGGCTTGAGGCCCTCAGGTGGGAGGTGCTGTGTGACTGCAGAGAGCCTGGCTCTGCCCCCGGCACATGGGTTCCCCGGCAGGGAATGAGAGCGGTGCCTAGTGGGCGGAGGCCGCGTCGCGCCCCCTGTGCGGTCAGTAGGTCTTCAGAGGCGGTGAGAGCCTGGCCATGCTCTTGGGACCGTCCCCCGGGGCCAAGCTCCCTGTCGCTGGTCGCCCCCTCTGTGCGGACAGGGCTGAATGTAGCAGCCATTAGTAACCCGTGGGACTTGTCTGTGCTGGGCCGGGCCGCCGGCAGCCCTGCACGGATGGAGTGCGTGGGAATAGCTCGCTGCCAGGGGGCGCTGCCTTGGCACTGCATAGCCCCGAGGGATGAGCAGCGAGGGGACGTGGCTGGCGGCAGAAGGGAATTCGTGGTAGCAGGGAGATGCATACACCACCATGTGTCCTGCCTCCCCTCACCCTCCCGGGCCTGTGCTCCCACCAGTGGGGTGGGTCAGCGAGGAGCAGGCTTGAACGCTGGTGGGGGAGGGCAAGCTGGGTGGGGGAGGGGGCGTCTTTTGTCATGGGAGGGGAGCGCCAGCTGGGGGAGAGGCAGGATTCCTGCAGGGATGGAGTTGCATTAACGTGCCGGGCTGCCCGGTGGCTTTAATACCGGCCCGGTGCCCCGTGCCTTGCAGCTGGCATTCAGACCCCGCTGGGGACTGTGCTGCCTGAGCTGGCAGAGATGCTGTGAACCCAGGGCCTGATCCTGGGGGGAGCTGCACACTGGAGATCCCGCTGGCTTCAGGCAGGGCCGGAGGTGCTTGCGGCCCAGATCCGCCAAGGTGTCTAGGCTCCTACCTTCCATTGAAACCCGTGGGAGTTGGGAGCCGAGATATCTGGGAGGCTCTGGGCTTCAGTGCCTCTGGGTGAGGCGCGGGAATCCCCACCCAAGTCTGGTGCAGTCGTTTAAAATCGTTTCCTCCCCCCGGCCCTGCTGCAGCTGCTGCCAAAGGCACCAGGGCCAGCTGCTCCGCTGGTGTAAACTGCGAGCACTGCGCTGATTCGCCCCGGTAGAGGATCCGGGCCTGGAAGAACACGGAGCCGCTTCCCAAGCCCCGCCGGGCCAGCAGCTCCGGGGTTAGGAGTGACTGTCCCCATACGTGCATCGGCGGGCGGAGCCTACACAAGAGCCCAGCTGAGCCTCCCCACGCGGGCGCTTCCCGGCCACGGCTCTGCACATTCCACCCGTTTCAGGCCTTGGATTTCAGTGACTGTCTCCAGGCTGCGCAGGCGGATCGGTCCCCTGGAGCTGCCTGCGGCGTTCGGATCTAGGCTCCGCGCCCCTTCCTGCAGGGGTTCTCGCAGCAAGCCGGCGGCCGGGCTCCGAGTCCCAGGGCTCGGTCGGCAGCAGAGCCGAGGCTAGAAAGTGAGGGCGTCGAGCTCAGCAGCCCCGCTCCTGCTGGGGCGGATCGGGGGAGGAGCTTCAAACCACCTTGGTGCACCCCTATGCGAGTCTGGCTGGGGATCTGTTACAGCCGGACTGGCTGGTCCCTGGCGTAAGCTAGAGCAGCCTCAGGGCTGTTCCATGTCGCTCTCTGCTTCCCGTGAAGCCAAGAATAGCGGTAGTGCTGTGTGTTCTAGCTGTACCCCCGAGCCGAGGGCTGAAAGCAGGTCCTCCCACCAGCCAGGAAAAGGTTTCGGAGGCTATTGCTGGGAACAGAAAGGAGCTGTAGTGTAACTGAGAACTAGCTCCCAAGTCTTCTGCCACTGCTTCCAAGCCCTGCCTGCCCATATAGGAGGAGGAGAAAGGCCCAAGTGTTTTGGTCGATCACAAGATAACTACGAGCGGCCAATGTGATGTGCCCATGAAAAAGGCTAGTGCAGCCTTAGGATGCATCAGGTGAAGTGTTTCCTGCAGAGACAGGGAAGTGTTAGTACCATTAAACAAAGCACAGGTGAGACCTCATCTGGAGTATTGTGTGCAGTTCTGGTCTCCCAGGTGAATTCAAACTGGAACAGGTGCAGAGAAGGGCTACGAGGATGATCCGAGGAATTGAAAAACCTACCTCATGAGAGGAGACTCAAGGAACTTGGCTTGTTTAGCCTAAGGAGAGAGATGATTGTTCTCTATAAATGCATCAGATGGATAAACACCAGGGTGGGACAGGAGTTATTTAAGTTAAGGGCCAGTGTGGACACAAAACCAAATGGATATAAATTGGCCATCCACAGGTTTAGGCTTGAAGTGAGATGAAGGTTTCTAACCATCAGAGGAGTGAAGTTCTGGAACAGCCTCCCCAGGGAAGCAGTGGGGCAAAAACCTACCTGGGTTCAAGTCTGAGCGTAGGGTGACCAGATGTCCCGATTTTATAGGGTCAGTCCTGATTTGGGGGGCTTTTTTTTATATAGGCACCTATTACCCCCCACCCCCTGTCCCGATTTTTTACACTTGCTATCTGGTCACCCTAATTGAGCGTGATAAGTTTATAGAGGGGATGGTATGAGATGACCGCCTACAATGGCATGTGGCCCATGGTTGACTGCTAGCAGCAAATATCCCCAACAGCCAGTGATGGGACACTAGATGGGAAGGGCTCTGGGTTATTATGGAGAATTCTCTCCCAGGCGTCTGGCTAGTGGGTCTTGCCCACATGCTCAGGGTCTAATTGATCGCCACATTTGGGGTCGGGAAGGAATTTTCCGCCGGGTCAGATTGGCAGAGACCCTCGTGGGGTTTCACCTTCCTCTGCAGCATGAAGTCACTTGCAGGTTTAAACTAGTGTAAATGATGGATTCTCTGTAACTTGGAGGCTTTAAACCATGATCCGAGGACGTCAGTAACTGAGCCAGAGGTTCGGGGTCTATTACTGGAGTGGGTGGGTGAGATTCTGTGGCCTGCAGCATGCAGGAGGTCAGACTGGATGATCACGATGGTCGCTTCTGACCTTGAAGTCTAGGAGTCTATGTATTGGATTCATTATTTGGAATTGCAGAGAGATTGTCATGTTTTAAGTAATTAAAAAAAAAAAACCCACAATCCATTTCACTTCTGCAACAATTCCAGCAGGGGGCAGTGTTGGGCTTTGTTCTCCAAGCCCGTAACTGGCTGACTTTTCTGTAACAGGGCCATTGTGTGTCATTTTCCTTGTTTTGATTTATTTTTTTAAAAATTAGATTATTGGGAAGAAAATGAAATTAAAAAAAAACCCTAAACCCCTTAACATCCCCAGCTGTTCTGTTGTCTAGGAGACGCTCACGGGCCATGCTGACAAAGTGACGGCTGCCAAATTCCGCTCCACCCGCCACCAAGCGGTGACGGGCAGTCGGGACAGGACAGTCAAAGAATGGGACCTGTGCAAAGGGGCCTGTAAGTAACCGACTCTGTCGGGCGTAGTGTCCTGTGTCTCACCAGCGACCTCCACTAGGGGGCGTGTCAAGTGTGTGGTTTGTGCACTGTTGGCACGGGATGATGATGGTATTGCAGTAGGGTCTAGATTAGGTTCATGCACAACCACAGAGCGAGAGGCAATCCCTGCAGCGACGAGCTTACAATCTGAATGGGGAAACTGAGGCACCGACCGGGTCAGTGACTTGTCTAGGGTCACACAGCAGGTCTGTGGCAGAACTGGGACTAGAAGCCAGGTCTCTTGACTCCCAGTCTGGTGCCTTAGTCCAGCGGCTGTTATACAGTCTCTAATACTACGGCAGCTACCAGAGATGCCCCTTTAGTTCAAGGCTTGTGCTTTGGAGCAGAAGGTTCTGGGTTCTACCTGGATGCACCGTGTGGTTCCACCAGGACCTCTGAAGTCTGGCTGTGGATCTGTTACAGCAGGTTCTTATGGGCCCTCTCTATGGTCTTTGTGTGGAGTCCTGGGCTAATAGTCTTTGATTGTTCTGGGCCCGCAGCAGGGACAGCCCGCCCTGTGCGTCTTGGCAAAGCCGGCTAAGTGACTGTTTCTGTTACAGTAATTCCCCAGGGCTCCGATCCCCGTTGGGGCCCGTTATGCTGGGCACCGTGCACATGGGGAAGAGACAGTCCCTGTCCCCATGGCCTTACAGACTAAAACTCACGCCCTGACCGGGGGATGGGAATGTACCATCCTCACGTGCTTGGATGAATTGGCTCGGCTCTGTTACTTCCATGCGGTGGCTTTTTAACTGGGGCTAGCGGCCGTGGAAAGACAAGGGAGAGGAGCACTCACGGCTGATCACCTGACCGCCCAAGACTCACGCTGGCTGCGCTTTCCTCCATTGGATGGATGAAATGCCACCCAGGGGGAAGGAAAGCGCTGGCTATCAGTGGCTGGGTGGCGCAGGCGTAGGAAGGAGTGTGTGGTCATGTGGGCAGGGCACAGGACTCAAGTCGGGGGCCTAGGTTCGATTCCCAGCCCTGCCACCCACTGGACAATGTGCTCCACTGCCCCGTGCCTCAGTTTCCCCAAGGGAAATGGCCTCTAGAGGTCCTAGTTGGGGGCATTGTCCTGGGCAGTGAAACAAGGAGAGTCTCTGCCCCAGGGAGTTTACACGCTGGTGTTAGGACAAGCTGGAGCAGGTGGATCAACAGACGGGGTAGGGGGACCAGAGCTGGCTGCCTTTGGGCTGCCGTATTTGCAGAGCACCGCAGGCCTCGGGGGAGGGCACTAGGAGCGGGCAGCGCCGTGGTCACTGATGGGCTGTGGCCGTGGTGGGAGCCAAGTAGCCACCTAGCTAGACTAGACAGTTGGGGGCGGGCCGGTGCTGGGAGTTTGGTGTCCCTTGTCTTTTTGCACCTCGCCTGTGGGCAGAGAACTGCTCTGTGAAGGAACGCTGGGCCTCCTCACTGTGGGGACCCTCCCGGGAAATCCGGGGAGCTGACGGAGAGGGAGCTGTGCCATTGCAGGACCAGCCGTCATGCCATCCCTGGCTGCGGGTCTCCACCCCGTTCTTGGAATTCAGCTCCGGCCTTTCCAGCCCTGGGGCTACTAGTTACAGTGCGATCGCCCTCGAAGAGCCATTAGATCAGGGCCCCGTTGCGCTGGGCACAGGACAAACCCACAGCGGGAGCCAGAGCCAAGATGGACCAAGGGGGCAGGATGAGGGTAGCCATGGTTGGGCCAGGCCGCCCTGAGTGGGGATTGCCCCAGGCACCGAGCCGCCGAGTGGTTCATGCTGAGAACAAACCGACCCCGTCCCAGGTGAGCTCGTTGTCTGGGATTTGAACTCGGGTCTGGTGCGTGGGACCCAATGCCGGGCCCAGCTCCCCTGCGCGGTGTGGGCCATGCTGGGAGGTAGACGGGTGGTGCTGTCTGGCACAGTGCTCCCTTATGAACGGTCAGCGTTCTCCCTGTGGGTAAAGGGTATCCCCTGGGAGGTAGCACGGCCCATAGCGGAGCCCCCGGTGCCCTGGCACTGCCCCACCAGCCTCGCCCCCCTCCCCGTCACTCACGGCCGTGCTGTCCCCACAGGCTGCAGGACCATCAACGTCGTCTCCTACTGCAACGACGTGGTGTGCGGTGACAACGTCATCGTGAGCGGCCACCACGACAAGAAGATCCGCTTCTGGGACAGCAGGTGACTCCCCTCCCTGGGCGGGGGAACTGCTGGGCAAGGAGCCTCCGCTGGTTAGGCCACCAGCTGGGCCCCTGGGGTCTCTGGCCCCCTTTGCTTGGCACTGGGGAAACAAGCAGGATAAAGCGCCGTCCTGCGGTTCTAGAAACACCTTCCTGCCCGACTTCAAACCTGTCCGCCCTGGGATCAGCTTACCCAGAGAGGGTGCTGTTCATTCTCCCTGTTTCACATATGGGGAAACTGAGGCACGGATTGGCTAAGTGACTCACCCAGGGGCTACAGAGGGAGTTGGTATCGAAGCCGGGGTTAGAACTCAGGAGTCTCTCGGGGGCCTGTGCTCCGCCCAGTAGGCCTTGCTGCCCCTCAGTGGGCTGCTAAGCAGTGAGCCCCCCTCCTGGATATTCTCAGACCAGCCTTTCTGGGATGACTTGGTTACAGCTCTGGACTGGAACTTGGGAGATTCCTGGCTCCCTGTGCAAGTCGCTGAGTGTCTCCGTGCCTCAGTTTCCCCTCTTAGAGATGCGTTTTCCCTGCGGGGCCGCAGGATCAGTCTGTTAATGCTCAGATGCTGCTGTGTCGGTTGCCATACAAGCACCATGATCTAAGTGCCAAAGTCCCGTCCGGGGCTGGGAAGTGCTTCCTTTGGGACGGCTCGTCTGGGCCTGGCCCGGGTGTAGGCGTGGGTTCAGTGGAACTCACCACATGGGACGATGCCAGCTGGGGCAGCGAGGCGCGAAGGGGGGCCTGGCGCACTCCGTGCCTTGTCCCCCGGGCAGCCCCAAGAGGGTGGGACGGGCAAGACGGCCGGCGTGCACCGAGGTGGGTGGGTCACAATCCAGAGTGGCCAGGCATTTGGCTGCTCACCCAGCATCTGAGCGTGTCGTCCCCCCGGTTTGGCTAATCAGCGCAAAAGCTTCCACGTGTCTTGCTGCCATTTCTGTCCCTCCTCTGGGCTATTCATACCCGGCGGGCTGCCCACTGGCGCTCCTGATGGCTCCCTTCAAGCGCTCCGCGGGCAGCGCTGAGTGGGGAGGGCTCTCGTCCGTTCCCTAGCAACGGATCTGTCCGGGTAATTAACTCCCGTAATGGAGCCGGGCGGTTCCTAGGTTAGCAGGGACAGGATGTAACTGATAGCCTCTGGCGTGTGGGAGTCCTGTAAGGGGGGATCCGACTGGAACACGGGGGTGGTTCTGATCCACGCAGGCCTTCGGGAGCGGGCAGCCCCCGGGTGGGTTCTCCACGGGCCGGTGACGTCGCTGGCGCGCTAACGAGCCCCTTGTCTGCCGTGCTCCAGGGGGCCCCGATGCACGGAGGTGATCCCGGTCGAGGGTAAGGTCACCTCCCTCCACATCAGCCAGGACCAGATGCACCTGCTGAGCTGCTCCAGGGACAACACGCTGAAGGTCATCGACCTGAAGATGAACAACGTCCGGCAGGTGTTCCGGTGAGCGGCGGGCGGGACCCTAACCCCGAGAGCCTGAGCCAGGCCTGGCCTGGCCTGACTGACCCCCCCGGGTGTAATACTGTCTCCTCCTGAAAGGTTCTCTGCCATCCTTCCTGGACTAGCCTATTCTGTTCCCCTGTCCTGCTCCGGCACCTCCCTTTCCTGCCCCGATCTGTCTTAGCAGCTGCGGCTCACACCAGTCCTCAGGCTGCTGATAGGACAGCGTTCTCCAGGGGAAACTGAGGCACGGGGGGAGTGACTTCCCCGGGGTCACCCAGCAGGGCCAGTGGCAGAGTTGGGAATTGAGCCCAGCTCTGCGTCCTGCCCACCCACAGCCCGTAGCACCCTCCCTTCGGCGAAGCCGCCCCTCCAGAGCCAGTCGTGCTGCTCCTCCAGGAGCCTGAGCAGGCCAACGCTGGGCGAGGCCTAGCGCGCCCCCTCTTCCGCATCACGGCTGGGCGAGCGGCTGTCTGAGCCCGCAGGGGGCTAGGCCCAAATGGGTGATGCCACCCAGTGTCCTCGTGGGCTGGCAGAGACGCTGGCGTTACCCCGTCAGAAGACGCTTGCGCCATCCCACGAGCCTGCGTCTGGCGCTGGCTGCCCGGGGCGTGGAAGCCGGAGTGCTGGGTCCCTGAGGTTGCAGGGATCTCGTGTCTGAACCCAGAGCCTGGCCCTTTGCCCCACAAGCCAGCAGTTCTCCCCAGGGCGGCTTGTATTGAGCAGTGGAGCCTGTCCCAGCCCCTCTGTGGGGCTCCAAGCCCCGGGCCCTGGGCGTGTCCCATGGGGAGCTGTCGCCCTTTGCGAGGGAGTGATGCACGTTCACCAGGGACGGTTTGTGTCTGCAGGGCCGACGGCTTCAAGTGTGGCTCGGACTGGACGAAGGCGATCTTCAGGTGAGCGGGGGTGGGGGTGCTGGCTGTGCTCGGAGCTGTACACACCATCGTGCAGGCTTGGCCCTCCCGCAGGGTGATAAAGGAGAGACACCCCACAGGGGTCACCGGGAGGGAGACTCCTCGCACGAGGGCACATTGCTGTGAACGGAGCTGGGGATCTGCAGTGCCAAGCCCAGCCCATCTGTTGACACAGCTCTGGGTTATTGTTGTGAGAGAAGGACCCACAGTGCCAGCGAGCCGGGCATAGAGCATGTAAATAATGGGCAAGTGTCCTACCCACGGCCCAGCCAGTGCCCTTCGCTCCTGCCCCACGGACCCTGCTATCCCAGTCCTGGGCATCACCATGCCCAGCCCCGCCAGTGCCCCTCACTCCTGCCCCACGGACCCTGCTATCCCAGTCCTGGGCATCGCCACCCCCGGCCCCGCCAGTGCCCCTCGCTCCTGCCCCACGGACCCTGCTGTCCTAGTCCTGGGCCTCGCCACCCCCGGCCCCGCCAGTGCCCCTGGCTCCTGACCTGAACTCTGCTTACACCCCAGTCTGTGGCTGCGGCTGGATCTCGGTGTGGGAAGTTGTCTCCGACCCCGTTTCTCCCCCTTCCCCCGTCACCGCCCAGCCAAAGCTTTGGACGGGGTGGGAGGTGGAGGCAAAAACGGGTCTCATTGCCCCCCTTTCTGGGCTGTATGGACCCTACCCAGTGATGCTCCCTTCCCCAAATGCCTCATCCTGCTCTTGACCCTGACTGGGGTCCCAGCAGGGCCCCAGGTGACCCTGGAGGAGGAATCCCAGGAGCCGGAGGGAGCCCCTGGGAGCCTGCTGGCAGCTTTCCCCGTGAGCAGCTCCTCCCGCATCCCGCCAAGAGCAGGGCCCTGCGTTCTCCTGAAAAGCCAAAGGGCTGTTTCCCAGCACGTGGGCTCTTCAGCTGGGGATCTGCCCTGCCGCTCCAGCCCTGCTCCCTTTCCAGGATCAGTGGCAAGCTCACCAGCCCCCCAGGCCTTCCAGAGGTGAGCTTGCAATGGCACTTCCCCGTCTCTAGGCCAGGCAGCTGGCTCCCAGCTCCATCGCACGCTCTAGGTGGACGGCTTCTGCTTGTTGTCGTGGCTATTCTGCTGTCCTTGAGACAGCGGTTGTCTCCCACCTGCCCCTCAATTTTCTTCCCGGCTGTTTTTTGAGGGAGAGGGAGGTTCCTGAGATTCTTTGCTGGTGCCTGCGGGTGATGAATGAACAGCCTGGAACATGGGCTGCAGCTACCCTTAGTCTGCTCCGGGCTTGCAGAGCTGTGGCCATTAGAAACTCTAAAACTCTCCAGCCCTTTTGGTTAAGCAGCATCCTCCTGCAGCAGGGAGTTCCACAGGTTTGCTGCACTCTCTTGTCTCAATGTACGTCTCTGGATGGCGCTCCCAAACCCTGGAGTGGATTCTGTGCCTCTCTGGACCGGAGTCCCAATGTCATGTGCCAGTATCAAAGAACCAGCAGAGGAGTCTCTGCATGCTGATCTTATACTCTTCTCTGTTCCTTGTCCCCCCTCTAGTCCCGATAAGAGTTACGCGCTGGTGGGCTCCTCGGACGGCTCCCTCTACCTCTGGAACATGGAGAGCGGGAAGCTGGAAACGATCCTGTCTGGGGAGCACAGGTGATGCTCCGCTGGCCCGTAGGGCAGGTTGCTGTCCTAAAGGGTCTAGGCTGAGTGCATTAAACCAGGATCCTGGGGACGGGGCAGCCCCAGAGGCAGCAGGGGGTCAGATCAGGAGGGAGGGGAGCCTGCTCTGGCTGCTCCCGCGGGGAAGGAATACAGCGCAACGGCCCAGTCGGGAACAGACCAGGCTCCTGGGATACAGTTGATCAAGGTTTTGTTCAACATCTTTATTAATGATCTGGATGATGGGATTAATTGCACCCTCAGCAAGTTTGCGGATGACACTAAGCTGGGGGGAGAGGTAGATACGCTGGAGGGTAGGGATAGGGTCCAGAGTGACCTAGAGAAATTGGAGGATTGGGCCAAAAGAAATCTGATGAGATTCAACAAGGACAAGTGCAGCGTCCTGCACTTAGGACGGAAGAATCCCATGCACTGCTACAGACTAGGGACCGAATGGCTAAGCAGCAGTTCTGCAGAAAAGGACCTAGGGGTTACAGTGGACGAGAAGCTGGATATCAGTCAGCAGTGTGCCCTTGTTGCCAAGAAGGCTAACGGCATATTGGGCTGCATTAGTAGGAGCATTGCCAGCAGATTGAGGGACGTGATCATTCCCCTCCATTCGGCACTGGTGAGGCCTCATCTGGAGTATTGCGTCCTGTTTTGGTCCCCCCACTACAGAAGGGATGTGGACAAATTGGAGAGAGTCCAGCAGAGGGCAGCGAAAATGATCAGGGGGCTGGGGTTTTGAGGAGAGGCTGAGGGAACTGGGGTTATTTAGTCTCCAGAAGAGAAGAGTGAGGGGGGATTTGATAGCTGCTTTCAACTACCTGAAGGGGGGGTTCCGAAGAGGATGGCGCTTGGCTGTTCTCAGTGGTGGCAGATGACAGAACAAGAAGCAATGGTCTCAAGTTGCAGTGGGGGAGGTCTAGGTTGGATATTAGGAAACACTATTTCACTAGGAGGGTGGTGAAGCACTGGAATGCGTTACCTAGGGAGGTGGTGGAATCTCCATCCTTAGAGGTTTTTAAGGCCTGGCTTGACGCAGCCCTGGCTGGGATGATTTAGTTGGGGTTGGTCCTGCTTTGAGCAGAGGGTTGGACTAGATACCTCCTGAGGTCTCTTCCAGCCCTAATATTCTATGATTCTAAGGTGCATTAGGGGGAGTGGGCTGGCCGGGGCAGGGAGCCTGGGAAAGAGGCTTTGTAGAAAGCCCTGTCTAGGGCACCCCAGAAGTTCCTGGAGGGGCCCACATTTTGGGGGAGGGGCAGATGGATCCTGTTGCAACCCCTGCTCAGCCAGAGCCCGAGAAAACGGGGTGCAGGGTTAGTGCACAGGACACTGGGGAGCTTTAGAGAGGGGGGGTGAAGCTGTTTCCACCATAGTGAGTGTGTAATGGGGTCCCCCCTCCCTGCCACGCCCCCATCCCTGCAGTCTTCATTTCCTTTCCAAGGGTCCTTTGGGGGGAGCGGGCAGGACCAGAGCCAGTTGTGCTGCAGGCTGTTCTGTGGGATCCTCCCCATGCCCACGTCCTTTTCCCCAGCCCCAAGACTTGCACGGGGGCTGTGCTTTAATCCACAGGGGAGGCTTTACAGATCTGGGTGCTGGGTGATTGAGCTTGTGTTATTGCCTCCTAGGAAGGAGGACAGGGCGACCCAGTGGTTAAGGGAGGGGACTGGGAGCCAGGACGCCTGGCTTCTCTGCCCTGCTCTTCCACCAACTCAATATGTGATCGCTTAACTGCTCGGTTTCCCCGTTGGTAGAATACTGTTTCTTACCAGGGTATTGTAAGACACAAGCCTGATCTATATACAGGTGCTATTGGTGAAAGCACATCTTAAGGCTAATAATAGCTAGCTCTCACTGAGCACTTTTCAGTCCCAGATCTCCAAGCACTTTCTGAAGCAGGCTAGTATCACAGATGGGGAAACTGAGGCACCGGGAGATGAGGTTACTTGCCCAAGGTCACCCGGCAGGCCAGTGGCAGAGCCAGGACTAGAACCCAGGTCTCCCAACTCCTGTGTAGGTGCGCCAGACACCAGGCCACGCTGCCTCCACAGTACCTTGGGCAGTTCCTCAGCAGGAGTAAATCAGGGGTCAGTGAAGCTGGTTTCCGCCATTCAGAGATCTGCCCCCTCAGTTGACTGTCAGACTGTCCCCATCGTTCCTGGGGTAACTGTTCCTCTTTCACTGATGGGCGAGTGGTGTGAGCACAGGACGGGAGCCAGGAACTCCTGCGGTCTACTCCGGCCCAAGTCCTCCATGGCTTTGGCCAAGCCACTTAACTTACCCGTGCCTCAGTTTCCCCACTGGGATAACAGCATCCCTACCCCCCTGGCACTGCTAGAGAGCCCTATATGGGAAGGGCGGACCCTTGTTAGCGTCCTGTTAATTCTCCTTGTCTGTGTCCTTGTCCCTCATCCAGGGCCTCGGTGAATGCCGTGGCGTGGTGCTTCTCGGGCCAGTGTGTTGTGAGCGTGGACCAGGCGAAGAAGGTGGTGCTCTGGAAATAGGGCTCAGCGTGATGCCGGGCTGCGGAGGAGGAATCCAGAGAGGACACCAGCCCCTCCTTTATCTGAGCCCTGCCCGGCCCCTGCTGCTACTGTTCGGCTCCCAAGGACCGAAGCAGCCCAGGGCTGGAGAGTGGAAAAGGACCCGGATGGGCAGAGGTCGGGTTAGAAGCTGCGTCTGCTGCTCTCCAAAGACCTCTGCCTCCTCTAGCAACGGCAGCCGGGGCACTTCGCAGGACGCTGACATTTTGGAAAAGGAAGATTAGAAAACCAAGGGCAAGCAGGAGCGGGAGGCTGCTGGGCCAGCGTCTGCAGGAACGGGCCCGTCGTGCCTGAAGGGCAGACATACCCACCGGACTCCGGCTATGGGACATTCGGGAGGGGGAGGAGCAGTTTGTGCCTGGCATTTAACCCTGAGGCAGGGGGTGACAAGCTCACTCTTGCGTCTGAGGGCCTGGACTCCATGGAGCCGTCCACCCTCCCTTGCAAACCGAGGTCTGCGGGACCCGGGCTTGAGGATCCAGCGTTTCCAATGCGCTTGAGAGGCCACGCTACATTGTAAACCTGGAGCCGGGCCGCTCGGCCACGGCCCGACGCAGCGCTTCTGACTCGGGTCTGCGGCCTGAGCCGCGTCCACGCTGCAGAACGACAGGGCCTGGGCCCGAGTCCCAGCAGGACTCGGACTCTGACCCACCCCCCAGCAGGGCCCGAGGACTCTTGCTGACCCAAGTCAGGCTCGCGTGTGTGGACGGAAGCGGAGCTCGGCTCCAGCCCGAGTCAGAGCCAGGGCAGTGTGCAGAGGAGTTAGTGAGCCGGGTCTCTAGGCTCTGCCCCACCCTGACCAGTCGGTGCCTCCCACAGGCGACTGAGGCTAACTCTGCTCGAGGGGGAGAGGAGTGAGATCCCGGACCCAGTGCAGCCCGTGGCCAAGCTCCCGTTAACTGCAGTGGGACTAGGAGAGGGGGCTGCTTTGGGAATAGTGGATCGCCCCTTGGGACACCATCTCCGTGGCCTGGGCCGTCATGCCAAGCCAAGAGCCATAGACGCCAGCCTGGTGGGCTCCAGACATAACGCCAGGGCACTTTTCCCCAGGGGTGAGTCACTGAGCGACTCTCTCCATCCCTTCCTGCCTCTGCTAGGGGGTTCTAAACCGTGCCTGGGGTGGTCCATGGTGCAGTCCAATCCCCTGATCTGATTCCACACAGGCAATGGCAAAGCAGGGCTGGGGGGGGGGGCATCTGATCCCCTGATTTCAGCCTGCTCCACCATGCGAGCCATGGAGTTCGTTTGTCACCCCGAATAATCTTTGTGCCTCTTTGCCTGCCGGGGGAGAGGCCCCCGCTGGGAGCGCAGGGCACGGCCCGTGGTGGGTGGGCTCATTCGGGTCGAGATGCCCCTGCCGGGTGGCAGGGTGCCATGGCTGCACAGCTGAATGGGCAGGGCATGGCCAGGTGGTACACACGTGCAGCGGGCTGCACCAGGCAGGACACCACCAGTCCTGCTGCTGAATGTGCACTTGCCCTGCGTGGGGGGCGAGACCCACCAGGGCACTTAGATACATCTGGCTAATGCCCCCCCAACTATGCCAGGCATTGGCCGTGTGAGGTTCCTAGGTCAAGGCAGGGGAAGGCCCAGTAGCGGATGTGTGTCTAGTCCATATCCTTCTCTGGGACTGTAATGTCATGGCAGCGGTGTCCTGTGAATACAGCTTTAAAACATGGTTTGGAGTTCTAGGCTGTTTCTTTTCCCCAGGCTCTAACTCTCCTTTGGTGCCCAGCCTCTTGGAGGAGAGACCCGGCAGCTCCAGAGCCAGGCCGCCCACCGAGGAGTTACTCACAGCTGTTTTATGGGGGTCGAGTGCTCCTCAAAGGCACCGGTTTCAGTGATCCCAGAAACTGACGTCCTCTGGCAGCAGAACGGGCATAGTAGGAACGCATCCTTCCCCCACCGATGCCCTTGAGATATGACTTAGAGAGATCGGGTCTCCCTGCACTGCTGTGTGTGGGTTGGGTGCTCCACTCCAGAGGCAGCTGCATTTTGATGGTGCAGCTCATCCAATGCTCTGGGAGCTTTTGCTATGGAAGGAGCTGTAGCATTTCAAGGGGTGCTCGTCCCTGAAGGGCAGCAGCCAGCTTTGTGAAAGTGGTTTCGGGGGTTCGGTCATGAACCCTGTGCCCCCCCAGTTCAGATGCCGGGATACACTAAAAAGGCCCACACGGGCAGAGATAAAGAGCTGAGCACTGACCATCCCCTGGGCCGGGCAGGTGAAATCCACACAGGGGCTGGCAGTTTGCCCAGCACAAGTGCCAAGGGCTCCCTATTTCATGCCTGCAATTTACACGAGCCGCAGTGGCACTGCTGGCGATTTATTCCGCATCGACGACGTGATTCCTAGCGTCACATCTGCTGCTGATCCTGCGGGGTGGCCCGCCTGTCTTGCTTTGTGGGGGTGCTGCTGCAGTGACCGGTGCACAACTGCCTTCTACTGGAGGGAATCAGCCGTCCTCAGCTGTGTGTCATAGCCCCTACAGTGCTAATGGAGATTCTCCTTTAGCTCACTAGGCAGGACCCTTTGTCGTTAGAGCAGGAGGCTGAGAGTTATGTGCCGGCCGTCTCCGTGATTGTTCTGTGTCGTCGTGTGTGGCATAGTGACAACCAGTGAGTCTGACGTGCCCTGTGGGTTTCTTACAACACTTACCTGTCTTCTCTGTAGGTCTGCTCCAGTGCTGTGGGTGTGGGACTGGGAGCCAGCAATTCCTGAGCCCTAACCCCAGCTCTGACACTGGCTGTTGGCAAGTCATGTGGTCCGTATGTGCCTCGGTTTCCCTCTCAGTGTACTGGGAGAGTAACCATGCTGCACTAGCTCAGAGGGCTGCTGTGAGGATTACTGGGGAGACCACTTTATGAGAAACACTAAGGGTCTTTATGAGGGTGGCAAAAGTCAGGGAAAAACAGTGTTGTGGGCCTGGCCTTGGTGAGGCCCATACCCAGCATGCAATGCTGCAGCACACCTGCCCTCCAGCTGGAAGGCTGCTCATTGGCTAGTCGATCCCGGGGCGGAGCTCCTCACCAGCTGGATCTGCCAAGAGAAGCTAGAACCTGGAGCAGGGTTAATGCCTTAGTGGACTCTCCCATCCGGTGGCCGGCTCGTGAGCTGTGCTGTGCAAAAGCCAGTGGTACAATCCCAGCTGTGCCCGGGACAAGTCACCGCCATTCTTCGTGCCTCAGTTTTCCTGGCTGTAAAATGGGGGTACTTCTCACCTGGCAAGGCTGTGGGAGACTTAATTCATTAACCTCTCGATCGGTCCTTTGTGGCCATGTGATCAGCATAACCTGGGCAGCCAGCTCCGTGCTAAGCGCGGGTGGGCTGCAGCCGGCACCCCCTGGACCTGCTTGTTCCCAGTGCTCTCCGCCCAGGAGGCTTGCTGTTGGAAAGGGACATCGTCGCTATTGGAATGGGGCCAACAGCACAAGGTCAGGGCAGGCCGCAGGCAGGCCCCGTTGGGCTGACCGGCACCCTCTGCCGTTAGTTCTCTTCCTCCGGACAGCGCCAGCTGGGGGAAGCATCTGCGGGGGAGAAATTGGCCAGCCGGCCGGCTCGTTTCTGGGCATCCCAGGTTAGCAGGAGCTCTGCCCTGCTGGGAGCAGGGTGCGGGGAGCTCGCCGTGTTCTTGCTCACATAGAGAAGTGGATGGGCATTGGCTTTCTGATGAGCCAGTGGAACCGGGATCTGCTGATTCAACACCTCCCGTCCCTGTGGGGAGAGCCAAGGAGCGGGAGAATTGCTCTCAGGTTTGCCATCGTCCCGAGATCAGACCCATGCCCCAAATAATAAACACTTTCCACTGAGTCACACCCCCTTCCCTGCATTCAGTGAACCTTGTAGCCCCCCGTGAGATGGGTCCAGTTGCATAAATGAGGAAACTGAGGCACAAAAGGCAAGAGCCTTGCCCCAGGTCCCACTGCCAGCCAGTAGCAATAGAACCCAGGTGTCCTGATGGATGGGTTCCAGGCTCTAACCATTCTATAGCTCACAGGCTGAGGATGTCTTACGTCTCTGCCCATGACTGGTGAGTGGCACATATAAGACAGGGCAGTGCTTAACGGGGTCTTCTCCCAGAGCCTGTCACCCTGCCATGCTGCCCTGGGGGCAGAGCTTATTCGGTGCCAGCGATCTCACATGCAAAAGCTCCTCCCCAACCCAACCTACGGCTGGTGGAGGATCAAAGCGAGCGCACAGGGTGCTGTGCTGGCTAAGAGGGTTAATGCAACCCAGCAAGGACGAGCAGGGCAGTGGTAGCGTCTCTGTGTACGGCGTCAGCCCGACCATTACCGGAGCCCGTGTCCAGGTCTGGTGTCTGCACGTTGTCACAACGGGACAGCTGAGAAGAGAACAAAGCGAAGGGTCAGGGACGGCGTGAGTCTAAAAGACGCTCGGGCGCACGCAGGTGTTGTGGGCGGGAGGCAGCAGGAGTCACTGGGTGAGGGCTCAGGCTAGACACTCAAAATGTTCCCCACTGGCCATCCCGCCTGCGAACCTGCGTGTCAGCTTCCCTGCCCGTTGCTCCAGCAGCCTGCCCTCTAGCCGTGGAGCTGAGTTTGGGCCTCAGACCCTAGTGCTGCATCTTTGCTGATGGGTGTTTCCTCTATCAGAGCAGCGCCCCCCACTGAGGGCTTGGCTCAGCCTGCCCTGGTCTGCTCCTGCAGGTATCTAGGTACCATGGCATCTGCCTTAGGTACCTAGCCGGCCCTCATCACCGTAGTGTCTGAGCATCTCTCACTGCAGTGTATTTAGCCCCGCAACACCCCTCTGAGGTCGGGCAGGGCTGTCCAGATGGAGAAACTGAGGCACAGCGAGGCTAAGTGACTGGCCCAATGTCAGAGTGCTTCACCCGCGCTGCCTCTACACATGAAGCTGTTCATCACAATGCTGAGCACTTCCCAGAGACGGGGCCTTCCATTACAGTGCAAGGCGCTGTCTCAATATCCGCTAACCCAGCTTCATTCCGGAGTGCGGCACGTAAGGGGAGATGAAGCCAGTTCCTTCACACTCCACAGATGCCCTTCGTTTTCAGTGGCTGCATTTTGAAAGGCCCCGTGTCTGCATTTCGAATCAGCCCCCACTGGCTAAGTGACGGGGAGTTACTGCAAAGCAGCCCTTAGCCTGGCCCTTAGCCTGAGTCCCAGCCAGGTGCTTTACCCACTAGGCCACCCTACCACACATCCTCGCTTAGCCGCGCCTTCAGATTGCCAGGGTTTGCCAGCACCTGGGCAAAACAGTGGTTTTGTTAAGATGCACCCGGGGTTCCTACTCCCAGCTCTGAGTAGCTCCCAGCAAGGCCCTGAACTGCCTGCTTCAGTTCATGCGCAAAGCGGGGCTAAGACCGACCTTAGCAGGGGAGATAAAGCCAGTTAATATTTGTTTAGCGCTTTGCAAACGTCAGCTGCTCATTTCTGTTTGGAGTCAATCTAATGCGAGGAGGCGGTAGAATTCTACACGATGCTGTTTCCTCCAGGTGTTTGAAACGGACCCGTAACAGCA